CTGCCGGCCAGGGTCAAACCACGACAACTCTATTAGCTGCATTTGTGAGGATCCACATTTTCCAGAAAACACGAATATTCAGGGCTTAGTACTGACCCTTGAACAAATATCTTCTCAATGCCAAATGACAATGAGCTGGACTGAAAGTCCCAAACTGCATATAGTGATGCATTACAGCAAAACACTGTGGCTTGAAATTATGATCCATGGTTCCATGCAATTCATTTGCAACAAAATTGTCAACGAAGACGAAGTATATGTCTGTTTCATGTTGTTGTGAGCAGGATCTGCAAACCATCCAGTGGATAAGGAAGGTTCATGAAAGAGGGAAACTTAATAACCCTGTGGTGTATCTGGCACTTTAGAGGAGACATGTCCTTGAGCAAATGTTGGAGTGAAGAGAAATATAAGGAAAGACGTTTAGAATCTCCCTTATGTCTTGGTTCCTCTGTTTTGGGGAAGAACACATACGGAAAGTTAACACTTTCCTGTGGACACTACATACATATATATATATACACACACATATATACATATATATACACACATATATATACACACACATGTTGCAGAGCACAGTCCTTTAAGGATCAGAGAATAGTGTAAATTTCTGTTCAGTGTAATACCATCTTTCCAATATTTTTCCTGATGATAGTACTTTAATGATGGGATGACTGGTAAAGGTGAAGATTTAGTCCAATATCTCACTTAAAAAAAATCAAAAGCAGTTAATATCTTGTCAAGTGAGTTAGGAGATTCATTCGACATACTTCATAGTTGGCAGTATATGGAGAAGTTTTATAAGCCTAAAGATGCATCACATGTAGTAGGAAAAATGAGACAATGAGAAATTTTTGACTAGTGCATAGTCTCATCGTAAAACGGATAGTACAGTGGACTTTTTCTGAACAGCATGGCTTGTATGTCCCCAGAGCGTGGAACTGTGACTTGTAGCATGATCTCACTCACCTCATTGTCCTGATGATTAATTTCACTAAGATTTGACTGCTGCAGGAGCACGTTCAGAAGCCTGTGGAAGCAATGACATAATCAGTGTGCTGTACTCCTGACTAAATCTGAATAATGCACATTTTTTGAGAAACAAAACATGTAATTTCAAGAAAAATCGGTACTAGTGATGGGGACAGGTGAGAATCTTAGCTCTGAGCTTTGTCATACTAAAAAAGCAAGCAGGACTTTATGGCTTGCTATAAAAAAAGAATTTTAATGCTGAGAATTAAAAGATCCACTAGGAAGAATTCTTGTGCTGATTGCCAGGCTAGAATCGGTGTGTGTAATACTATACATACGTGCAAGTTTTGGTAGGAATTTGTTGTCATCCTATTGTGTAAAGTTTTATGGCCAGTTTCTAAAAGGGTTTTTCGCTGTCCTTAACTCTTGGAGTAATGTTATGTTATGTAAGTGTTTGCATGTGTGCAGACATACTATATATTTACACACACACAAAGCAATAGTATTTTACAAGGCTTTGCATTGTGTATGCTGGGGTGGGACCATTGTTGCAATACAAAATATAGCAATGCGCTGATTCACATTTGATGGAATATTAGACTACAAACACTCCCCTCTTGTGGAAGGAACAGTTACAAAAAAACAGCTACATGAAATATACAAGCACGGTAGTGTTTTTAACAGTGCATGGCTTTTGCTTTTCTTTTTGATATGGTATCTTATGAAGATGCCCTGAAATCACTATAGGTTTAACGAAGATGGCTGTGTTTTATAGTGGGGTATTAAGTGTTTGGATCATGTACATGAGTGGGCCATGGAACTGAAAGGACCATTGTGTCACACATGGTGACAAAGCCAGCATAGATCCTAACATGGATGTACAGTTCTTACGATTCCAGCACAAGGAAAGATAGATCCTTAGTGGATCTCTAGATAATACCATAATGAAAATCTGCAGCTCATCTGAAGGTGTGAATCTGCTACAAACGTTCAAAACACGGACATTTAAGAGACCTTCTCTTTTACCAGGAAATTACAAAATAATGAATGTCGAGGAGGGAACTCTAATAAATGTACAGATAATGCACAGGTAAATGTGTACAACCATGCATTTATTCTCATGCATAGGATACTGAGTGAAAATCTTTTGCTGTTTTTCATTAGGACAGTCTTCAACAATTCCAGTATGTCTTCTAGACTGAACTGTACTCAGGTGTGTGGATCAGATCAAGCTGAGAATGTTGAATGACATTTTTCCCCCCAGTATTAAACAACTAGATAATGTGAATTATTCAAAACAAAGACATTTACAGTTGCTTAGGGATGATTTGGGAAATTCTGCAGGTGAAATTTTATCTGCTGGTAACACTATCTTCAGTTACTAGAAGTCCAGATTTAATTATTTTCTAACTAGAATATCTGTGTGAAGACTGGACAGATCCATTTGTATATGGATACAAATACTTATAGAAAAGGAGTGCTACACCTTTTCTGAATCACACAACAAATAGCATAATGGAGTCATACTGTAGGAGCTCTGAAAAGGATGACATTTTAGGATTGCTGGGATTAGTTTGGTAAAAATTCGTAAAAGGAAGGAGACGTTTTGTGGTCATGTGACAAAATGATCCAGAATCTCATAAATACAGTATTTGAAAACAGATCTGGGTGAAAACGGAATAGTGAGCAGAAAGAAACTGAGGTAACCGTATTATGTTTGTAAAACCTGATTATCACATGCTTTTATAATCTGACACATGAGTCTGTATTTTAACCCCAGTGAATCGATGAAACCAGTGTATGTAAAGGAAATGTCATTCTTTGAGTGCAAAACTTCTATCAACAACAAACTTTGGCTCACTTATATCCTTAAACCATTATGACAACGTGTTACCACTCAAATATGTAAATATCCAGCCATGTAGCTGAGTTTTCCCTGATATCTACTTTTAAAGGCATAGATCAGGAAGCCCATGGGTTCTCTTTCCACATTTCCTCTTAGTCTTCGTGGAATGCACTGAAGCACATAAATCAGTTATCAAATCAATACATAAATTGACTCATCACTGTGCGGTCCATGTTCTGCTTTCAGGACATGGGATTGTAGCAGTGGCTGCTGGCTTTCAAACTTGGCTGAAAAAGCGTTTCACACCTGTCCACTGCATATACCCTTTTGGCAATGACATGGGATTCAAGAGGGTGACAATGACCACAATGGAAAGGCCTCCCTCTCAGTATTCTGGGCATTTCTTATGGGCGTGGGGAAAAAACAGTGAGAAAAGAGAGGAAAAGGAACTGAGCAACTTCTGTGCAAACTTCTGAGCAAACTTCTGTGCAGAGAAAAAGTCTGCCTGTATCCGTGGAGAATGTGAAAAATGTTAGGGGAACCCCATGTGCTCTTGGTAAAGTAGATTACTATTCTGTTTCAAGTAGCAGCATGTGCAGTGTTGTACAAACATTTTCTTCTTTCTGTGGAGGCTTTATTTAATGATACTGGCCCATACTTTTGCAGCAACCTCAAACTATTCTTTCCAAGTGATGCATGAAAATCAGTGATAATGGGGAAAATTAATAAAGCTGAAGAGCAAGATCAGCAGAAAAGCACAGAGGTCAGGGCTAGTCTGCTACGGTGACAGCAGCAAAACTGTAGACTCAGAGATTAGGTCATATGAATATTTTCATGTACTGTATGTTTCACCTGTCTTTAATGTCTTCCTATCCTTCCAGACATGATGGACTTAGGAGAGTTTTTTGAGTGAATTTATTCAGATGTACAAATCAAAGATTGTTAAACCTTCCTATTATCACAGGCTGGAATGAGACAAAGAGAATTTTTCTTAGGGCTTCTTGTGAAGACACTCTGTAACTGTAACTCCACCTTCAGTAAAATAGTTAACAATGATCCAGCCCACCAAACCTCAGCTTCCTCTTTACAGTAGGGGCTTTCAAAGAGGTTGTCATGTGGAAAATTTTTCTCATATTTGCCATGCTACTCGGAGAAGTCCTTATTCTTGTGAGAAGGTGGCAGGAAGATAACTGGTCAAGGGAAACCCAACGTTTCAAGCTCCATTATAATTTTTCTTTTTCCTCCTGCTGTTGTGATGTCAAACCAAGCTCCTTACCTTACTTGGCCTTATATCTTTGTATACACAAATGTTGTACATTGCTTTTCCTCTTCTCTTCTCCCTTTACGACAATCACTAAGCAAAGGAGCAAGTCACACATGTATTTGTTACAGCAAATTTCCTTTCTTGGACTCCCTTTTAGGCTTGGTAGCCTGTACTGGTGACTACCTGTTGAGATTCAACCACCAAATGCTGGTGGAGCCTTGGACATACCTCACATCAGGTTCTGCGGTAGCAGCATGGAGTGGTAACCTCCCGTTTTTGTCAGGTATATTTTGCTTAGCACCGTTTCTGAGCAGGCTGACACAGCCTTCCAGCCAGCCCTAAAAAAGAAATTAGAGCATGTTAAAGGGGAAAGCGAAATGCATCAGGCCAGGTCTTGCATGGTGATTCTGGCACCCAGAGACTGTAACTGTTCCTGCCAGCAGAGAAACTGCTCTTTTGTTTCCCCAATAGATGTCTCAGCCCTAAGAGTGGTTCCCCTTTGAAATCTGAGTCTCAGACTAGCTCAGCCATTTATTTCTGTGATTAGGTGTTTTCTTTACACTGGATTTTGGGTTTTCTGCAGTTGTGGCAAGTACCGATTAAGTAAACAGTGACTAAAAACCTGCTAATTCGTGTATCACTAGCAAATGCTACATATATTCCTGCATGTGGGTTTAATTATGCTAGTTTAAACCTAGAGCAAGATCACTTGTCTCATTTCCTTTATCAGATTTTAGCAGGAATGGCAAATCAATAGTAAAAAGCCTTAGAGTGTGGTCTTACAAACGTTGTTGCAGAAGCTTGAATCAGTGACAATATTAGCCTGAAAGCAGCACCAAAACAGATGGGATGAATCAGTTCTTGGACTAAAACATACTATTGATCACCACAGCAAAAAAGCAAGTAAACAACCTGTTTGTGACTGCATAAATCTTTCAATGTATACTTAAGTCCCAGAGAAATCAAGCATGTGGTTAAGTGTTTTCTTCAAACCTTGGCAGGACAAAGATTGTTCCCTCCTGTATAATCTATGCTGGATTTGCATTACCATAATTTTTAGGGAAAAGATGTGGAACGATGGAATCAGAACATCCCAATTTGAGCTCCTGGTGGAAGTCAAGACCACCAAATTCTGCATTTGATTGTTGCTGGGGAGCTTTGCTGAATTCAGTTCTCTGAACAGACATCACAGCCTAGTGCTCTCTAGACGTCTGATTATATCCATCACAGAAATGGAAACTTTGAAGCCTGGGTGGTTTAAATCTTTTCCAGTCACTTCTTTTTTAGCAAAGAATGTTTTTTCCTCTCTGGGGAAAGAGAAAGGAAAAAAAGGAGCATGATAACTAATTATGGGATTTTTTGAAAATATCTGGCAGAGGAAATGTTTATCCTCAAGTGAGGCATGCTCCTTGCACTAAATGAGACTGCCTGTTTTGCTATTTTCTACACTTATTTGGTAGCTCAATATCACATAGCTGAGCAGAAGCATTGTTTTTGTCCTGAACTTGCAGGAAGAACCTAGATGCAAGGGATGCGATTTAATTAGGCTGCTACGGTATCAGTTTAAATGAATTGGTGGTTATCTGGCCATAACTCATATTATGCAGCATGGGTGAACATTCCTTTTCCCTTTCTCTCCTGGCATGGTCAAACCCTCTGCCCAGAAAACTTGGTCCCCATCCTTTCTCTGAATTCTGAATTCCCTCCAGCAAGGCATAGAAGACTAAGCGGAAGAGGACCGTCCTTGTGTGCTTAAGACAGAAAGCACCAGATCTCCATTCCCAAACTTTTCAATGGGATGTCTGCACCTACTTCCACTTGCATGTAGGTTGATTGGGGGATTGAATTGTTTATGATCTGAATATTTGCACTGGCATCTGCCACACTTTGAACTTAAGTTCTTAAACAAGGTTATCCAAGGTCCAGTACTATAGTGAAAAAAAGCTGGCTCATGTGGTATGCAAGAAAAGATGCCTGCTGACCACCAGAATCTGGTACTGACAGTGGGAGGGGAGAAGTTATTCTGCATTTTAAGAACATGAGAGGATTTTCCATTGCACAGAAACAAGTGCATTTTTTGAAACCACAAAGAAGACTTTGCAACTAGTGAGCTCACCATACGATGCACTCATTTTACAATCCAAAAGAGAAAGGGCACTGACAGAAGTCCTGATCTTTTTCTAATAATCATTGCTTCCAGCTCTGCATCCTAGGAAAATTTATGATTTCACTGTTGTCTAGAACCAAATGTTTTGTACTTCTTTTTTCTTCCTGTAGTATAAACAGAAATCTTATTTGGTCTGCACTCCCTTCACTCCATCTATCTTTCCATCCTTCTACCCCAAGTCTTGGTACCAGATAAGTTGCCAGAGATAAACTGGTACGTCCACAAGCATCCTGAGTGTTAATATTGGCTCCCATCTTCAACAGAAGCTTCACTGTATCAACCTGGCGTCCTGACACAGCATGCATCAAAGGTGTGCAACCTGGGGAAGAAAGTCAAACGTTCTTTTACAATTTTTATCAAAGCCGTAAGATAGAGATATTTTCTTATTTGCCAGTGTTAGTACTGACACATTAACAAATCCTTTCTCTGACAACTGTCCAACAGTTGTACTCAGGTTTCTGTAGACAGGATGTAACTGCTCTGCCAGTTGCTGACCACTGATTTTAAAAAGAGCATCACTTCATTAGCAAAAGCCTTGCCTCATTAACTCTGCTTCTGGAGGGAAAAGTGTTTTTCTGTTGACGAGCTCCCAATAGGAACTGTTGGCTTTGCATACCAGCTGGGAAGCTGATACTCTTCAGAGTGACTAGTAGCCAGATGGCGCTTGGCTCATTTTTTCAAAATCCAGTTTCATTCTGTCTCTGTGTATTCAACAGATTTATGAAATCAAGCCCTGTTCCATGCAAAGGTGTATGTGCGTGAATTGATGCCTTATGCAGACAACAACTTATCTTAAAGACTGGATTTGCTCTACAGTATTTTCTTTCCTGTTGTCATGAGAATTTTTTATATGCTGCAAACAATTTCTGTGCTGGGAAAAAACCCAAATCTACATTCAAACCTAATACTCAAATGAAGTATTATATCTTCTAATTGCTTCCTCTTCCTTCCATTCTGTTAACTAGTGAATGACAGCAAGAGATTTTCCTGCAGAGTCTGACAAAGCAATTAAAAATGACTAAGCTAGGAGTGAATATGAATATTAGAAACTATAAGACTACCAGAAACTTCAGACAGAACTGAAGAGTAATTATTCTTACTGGATTCAATAAGACTGCTGAGCAAATGCGTGCTACTAAGTCTGAGGTTATGCAGATCCTGCCATATGTGCAGGATATGAGCCATATGTTTTGTCTTGCAAGACTCGTCTTAAGTAACATTCGCGTGTACGATCTACTAATCAAGTTTATTCTGGAGCTGAAATACTTCCGATTGCTGTTTATACGCTGCCCTTCATGACTAGTCCCTCTCCCATTAAAGGTCTAGACTGAGAGCATTTTAGCTTGCTTAAGCATTTTCCTTACTAATCAATATATGTTTTAAAGATAAGAGTTAGGTTGTCTGGTTTAAAGTGTAGGAAAATTTGGCAACTTGTTAAAAGTTGGTAGAGACTAGAACAGATGGTGTTCATATGAACACTTTAAAAAAGAGTGCAATAAAAAATACTTTTGGATTAACAGTCTTCCTTGAGAGAAGCTTCTAGAGATCTGTGGCTCTAATTCACTTGGGAAATAGATGCATATAAAAACCAGCCAGTGGACAACACTTTGTAATAACATTAATATAAAACAAGCATAGTCTCAGAGCTAAAACAGATTATTGAGATCATTGCACATTGTACAATCAACCCTTTGGCAAAAAATGTATATGACAAAATCTTTCAAACTGTGTCTCAACACATGCTTTTTAAAAGACTGGAACCCTCTGCTCTAGATATGTGCAGAATGTATTGCATCTGGTTCTGATAAAAATATTCTTTTTCCTTTGCTGAAATGACAATAATTTCTCAGTGTCTCCTCAAAGAAGATAAAATAGATTCATGATAAAATACTGTCTGATTATAGCAAACCAACTTATTTATATCTATATATAAAATCCATACAACTACATGGTGAAAGAAGTATCCAAACTGAGCATTTGCAGTGGATGTTCCGAAGAATAACTCAAATTTCCCATATTCTGCTACTAAATGTAATTTGCTGAGAACAAAAATCACCATAAAAATGGAAAATTTAATTGCAATCTGAAGAAACTAATCCCTTGAGAACAAGCTCAGCCTTCCCTTACCCTCGCTGTCACAGCACTCTAGTATGGAAGGATCTTCTCGGATCACTGCAGTTAGTGTGTTCACATCGCCATTAGCTGCTGCTTGGTAAACCACAGTCAAGTCAATCTCTTCTGCTGCATCACCTGCAGGGGAGGGAGTATGTCTATGAGTAAGAGGAGAGCAAGTACAAATAATTAACACTGAAAACGGTGACACTTTTTTCACTGAGTTTTTATGACTGTATGACTGGAGATGGAACAAGGTGTATCTAAACAGCACTGTGGTTTTTGTTAGTCATTGTAACTTTTTCCAAAAACTATCAGACATAGAGAGGACATAAGAAAACATACTGAAAGTTTCCACCTCTTATAAGAAATCATACTAATGTTAATGTAACATGACTTGAGAAACAAGTAATAACTGAACTTGCTCATAATATTGCCAGCTACACTTTTACAGTATAGGATGAAATCAGGACACAGGTGTTTTCAGTTTCACTGTTGTTATCCTTGCACCAATCAGAAGACTGAGGATTTCACTTCCTTTCCCTATCATGTCCAGGGAAATGCTTTTCTCAGGAGGATGAACTTCTGGCAGCAATGCTATGTGTTAATAATTCCTGCAAAAATGAAAGGTGAACTATTGCTTGGAACCTAGGAAATGTTTGTTTTGTTCAGCAAATACAGTATGAAGTGTTGTTTAAAGCAGATGCCTTTTAGGACCGGTTCCTCAGATTTTTGTTTCTAGAAAAATGAATGTGATGATTCTCTTTTTGCTTCTTTGCTTGTAGTTTCCTTCCAGACTGGTCATCACATGCTCCACTTCACTACACCTCCTTTGGATTTGAGTACTAACCTTTTAAATCCAGGAGTCAAAGGAGCTGATTTTTTTAGTGTAGGGTCAAATCTGATTCAATGGTAAAATTCTCTAGAAATGTATTGTTGGTCAGCCACAGACTTATGTTTCATTTTAAAACAAGTTTCTGATCTGCTAACGTAAAAAGATATGTGGCTGCAGCAAGCTGTGCTGTTCACTGTGGCTGAGCGTCAGAAGTACAGAGTTTGTCTAGCCACTGCACTACCTTTTTAGCAGGATAAAGTATAACTAATGCCTAAGTCACACCAGAGAGCTGATAAAAGCAAGGACAGGTTAAGTGACTGGTGACTTATCCTTGCTGTTGTATGTTCTGGGGATAGCGTAACTATGTGAGCTGTGCAAAAAAAAAGGGGAGATGTTTTGAATGATGAATTTGAAAAACAAATAAAAATATTTTTCATAATCAAATTATTATTAACAGTGATATAAATTATATTTTATTAATTGTAACGTATACTTTTGAGTGCGAAAAGATCTTTAAAGATAATTTGGAAGTATTAGCCACATTGCTCATGTTGTGATCAAATACTGTCACATTTGAACCTGCATGAGTTCTTCACTGGGGTTTACAGCTCAGCATAATTCCCCATATGTGACTTTCTCTCCCCAGGATGCAATCATCACTCTTCAAAACCTGGCTGCCATGGAAACGCAGCAGCTCTTATCCTGGGAAAGGTTAGTCTGTCATAGCTAGAGCTCTGTTAGTCGGCTTGGGAAAACTAGAAAGGTGATGTTAAATCTGCCTTCACCAGTGCACAGATTCCCTCTTCACCACTACCCAATGGAAGAGGATTTATTATCTTTTCTTTCTTCTAGCTGGTCCTTTAAATTACATGTTTTATAAAATTTGTGAATTAAAAATGTTAACTCGCTTTTTATTTGACTGAGGAGTCTGCTGCTAAGGGAATTATTCATTTGAATCAGAAGCTTTGAGCTGTGTGCTTGGGAGATCAGGAGAGACTAAGAGTCATTGCCTCTGAAGAGTCACGATGTGTGACTAGTATATGAAAAAAGAAGTGACTTTACCACAAGGCCCATTAATCAGATTCCCGTATCATGCCCGACCTGCAGACTGCTCTCACAGTTGGTAAATTCAGCAAAGACATGTTAAAAACAAGCTGAGGTCTGAGATGGTCCTTTACTCTGAGACTGAGTGAGAAGCAAGGAGACAAGGCAGAAGTTTGTCGCTTGTGTTGCTCCTCTTGGCCAGTCTCTGGAAGTACCCAGGAGGCTGCCTGTGGTGGCATATTGCCATATTATATGGGAATGGTGCAGCGAGGATGCTGCTGACTTTAAGACAGAAGCCATTAGATGTGCTGGGACAGCAGCAGATGAAAGGGGCCCTCACCTCCTTTTATGTGTTATACATGTAAATTTTGTACTTCTTGCTGTCTAGCCTTGTAAGTACTGAAAATTGCCTGCTGTGAGTCTGGAGCAGAGTAATAGAACCACAGAAGGAAACTTTATCTCTGGAGCAGAGGGAAGGATGGCAGGAAATTGAGGACATGGATGCACACCTGCATGTGGGTCCCTGACTCCATCTGCCCTTTGTCATCTAACTGAAACCAAAACAATTTTTCCCCTTTGCCTTTGCCTGTGCTGGGATGAATCTGCTTTCCCCAGTGCAATTGTCCTCCCTATGGAGGTTTATGAGGCAAAACTCTGACTGGATGGTTGGTTGGGTGGGTGGATGTGTGGATGGATGGATGGATGGATGGACGGACGAAGTTTTTCACATGCCTGCTCTCACAGAACACAGGCTCCATTCCTGTTAAGGGATCATGGCATGAAGCTACAACCAAGGTTCACATTTCCCCACCCATGATTCCTTGCTGTGAGAGCAAGGAGAGACAGGTGGACCAGGCTGCCACCTTGCTGAAAAGGGAGACTGGACCAGGAAGAACTGTTGAATGCTCATATTGTGTATCTAAAATAAAGTAGACTGACACTAATTCTATTTCTACAAGGTGGCACAATTTCAACTGGGGTGTCTTTAAAATGACCTGCATGTCTTTGGGCGGCAGGCAAGGCCGAAGACAGATGTGTGCTCTTCTGATGCTTCACATGACAGGGAACAGGTAATGCCAAGAGTGTTTGGATGTCATGTGTGCTGGATGCATTGGCTGCAGGTGACACATCTCCCTCCTCATCTTCTCCTTACTCTGTCAAAGAATGAGAAGGCATGGGTGCAAAGCCTGTGAGCCAGTTCTTTTTGCACACACCTTTCCGGGCAGAAGAGGAATGGTTCAGAGAGTGGGCATTTTTCAGAAGGTGACAGTGAGGTACTGAATGCTGATGTCCCCCTCTGTGAGTTTACCCTGCTGGGGAGCTTGGCTGCAGCTGGGGTACCACCACCACATAGGATAAAGGGATTGTGAGCAGCCAAAGACCTGAACCTCCATCTTCAAATGTGTGAGCCTTACTTAATTTGTTATCTCGCAGTTCTGAAAATGCCAGTGAATACTGGTGCCATTTCATATGTATTTTACATTTTATTTTGGCAAATTGCTGGGCTACTGGTGAAAGAAAATTGTCAGTCAGCTTCAGTAAGGCAGAAAGTCAACTAAGCCTCAATATGGAGAAAAGGTAGGGAGAAACTACTGGCTGGCACAACAATGCCAAAGACAAGATGATATACAGTGTTGTGACATGTTTTGTAGCTAAAATTCTTGGAAAGAATCTCAAGTTAGAAGCCAATTCATCTGAAATAAGCTACAATGTTTTAAAAGTGTGCAATTTCTTTACGACAAAGTAATTTTTTTTAGGTTGAAAAGGATGATATATAAAGAAATACGAAGAATGGTCATAGGATTCAGAGCAACAAAATTACACTGACTCTCCTATGAAGAATGCATGTTTTACATAGTTAGCAATACCACTAACGCATGTGTTGTTTTGCAAAGTGCATATTAGAGGTACTTAAGGGCATGCTTTCTTCTGCATTGGATTTTTAAGAACTATATGAATTTCCTGCAGCTTAGTGTATGTGGCCTTGATGATGACTGATTTAGAGTTTGCTGAAACACAAAGTTTTGAAAATTGAAGGCTGGATAACAGAATAATTTATGTACATTGTGAGGAAGAAATATTTATGTATATAATTCAATCCCCTCTTTCTTGCGCACACTCTCATCTTCACCAGCAGCGAAATGCCTTATGTGATTTCCCACAGCTTGTTCTCAGGGGCACAATACTAGGCTGTTTATTTGATTTCAGCTTGTCAGTGTCAAGGGTCAGCTGGAGGTGGATGAGTGCTGTTTTTGGAAATTGTAGCTCGTTCTCTAATGTAATGGATTTATTAATTACTTACCAAAATAACAACGACTGTGTGTGCCTGGCTGTGACTGTACCAGTACAAGCCTTTCTCTAGCTTCTCTGTTTGAATGGTAAACTTTTGAATTCAGGTACAGCACACATTTAAATGTCACTATTAAGAGGGGAGAGGTTTCTAATATTGCTTGGCTTCTGTAAGTTCCACATTGCTACTGCTATTACTGTAGGCAAGTATTATAAAATACTAATGAGCAGTACCATAGGAAGTGTTACAAACAGACAGTATGATTTCAAGCCTGGAATGCTGTTTTTTGATCCATAGCCAGGATAGTTTCCTGATGTCTGCGGTGGAGAAGGGGTTTGCAAGAAGGGTTGGATTATTTTATTGGACCAAAGGATACTGATCTGGTGTGTCTGAAATGTGGTTTGGATTATTCCATTGTTATAGATCACTCTGACGAAAGATATTCTTCTTGCTAAAAAAAATATGGCTGCTTAAATCAGTAATGCACCAAAACAGTCACGGTATTTAGATAAAATCCACCATATGCTGTTAATTTTACATAGACCTTTCTTTGGATAATAACCAACGGGCTCAGTGTCCCATTACTGTGTGTTTGCTCTTGCTCCCTATCAGCCTCCCACGCTGCTAGCAGCGGAGACAAACAGTAAGTCACAAATCATCTAATGAGCCAGCATCCCTGCAGTAGTGGTAGAGGAGAAACGGATGATGAATTTATCTGAAGGGGCCCCTTTTGCTGTGAGTGGAGTGTGAAATGGGGCTAGAGATGATGCTGGACAGGAATTAGGATGACTCAGTCTAGAGAGTGGCCTGGTAAAAGGAGGGGCTGCAGATTAGGAGCAAGGAGAGGTACAGGCAGAGTTGCCTCACAACTCTCTTATTTCTATCCAGATAAGGTGTTTGGGTCACTGGTCTCTTGCATTGCTGTCTATCCCCTTATCCATCTGAAGACTTTGTCTCTTCTTCCTCACCCCTGGTTATATTCCATCCTCTTTCCTGCAACCCCTTCCATCAACTCCCTGGCAGCCATCTCCATGGCACTGAGTGTGCAGGATTTCCCTCTCCCTTCCCAGTCTGAGTGCTGGTGGGTCAGCATGCAGCACAGACCATACCCATGGTAGCTGCAGAAGGAGAGCTTGAGAATGGCTACGTGGAGCTGCAGAAGATCAGCCAGCCCCGCACCTCCTTCCTGTTGGGGAAAATGCTCTTTACATCATTCACACACA